ACAGTTCCCTCGGTATTCGGGTGCATTCATGTTCAGTGGCTTCTCTCATTTCAGCCACTGTTACAATAGTCCAAATACAGTGAAAAAAACAATAAAATGATACATGTAAATAGTTTTACGTTTTTGAAATAATAAAGTTATAGTAAACGCCAAATTTACAAATATTTCAAATGTGTATACATTTTTGGGACACGCTGTATACGTACAGTTGAATGGAGTGGCACTGCAGTGGGCTTCCACCCCGAGGGTTCGCAGACGCCAAAATATTAATCTAATGTTGCATACTCATGCAGGTTCAGAAATAAAAGGGAAAAGCCATTGTTAGCTCGGTGGAGCCCGTCGAACTAACCTTTGCTTTGAGTTTTGTAGTTGAACTGTAATGGAAAATTTTGCGAATCGTTCAAATAATCGCCCAGTTTGAGAGCACTCCTCGAGTGTACTTTTAATCATGTCGCTAGCAGGGCTGAAAAAGCAATTCAATAAAGCTAATCAGGTATTTATTTTGTCTTGTATATTCGCCTAGTTTATGACTGAGAAAATTGGCGGAGTGGAGGGAACAAAGTTGGATGAGGAGTATTTAAACTGCGAAAAGGTATGTGCATTTTTCTTTTATTTCTTCAAGCAAATTGACATTATGTCGAAACTTATCGAGGAAATAATTAATCGGACCCACGAATACTTGCAACCAAATCCAGCGACGCGAGCCAAAATGGTCACCGTTAATACTTTTAACAAGATCCAGGGTAAAGCCAAAACATCTGCGTATCCTCAACCGGAGGGTCAACTGGGTGATTGCATGCTTAAATACGGAGAAGAACTTGGCAACGAGTCTCTTTTTGGTGAATATTTTCCTTTATTAAGTGAATTTTTGCCGTTTTTTTTATCTATTTTCTAAGGCTTGCTTGCCGTATTCCACGTAAGCAGGCTTTGTCACGCCTAACCCGTTTAAGGGTTTACTGGCTTAAAATCATTTTTGCTTCTTCCCTTTATGCATAATTTTTTCGTAATATTCAAAGATTAGCCCTGAAATTGAAATTATTTCACTCACTTTTTTCCAGTTTACTTACCTAATTGTTCTAAATTTACCACTATGCCTTATCACTTTGGTTATATATTAAACCGAATTTTTACAATCCAGTGCCATCGTAACCAGTAACGTCTTTGTAATCTTCCTCTAGGTGAATGTTTGGTCCAGGCCGGTCAGTCATTCAAATGTTTGGAGGAAGTCAAATTCCATATGGAAGATCAAGTTAAGGCAGGCTACATTGAGCCTCTACGGGGAATTCAGACAGTAGAGCTGAAGGAGATCAATGTAAATCCAACTCTGCACTTTTTAGAAAAATACCGTTGTAAATCTCATTTACTTTTTTGTCCTTATGCACTGATTATTCATCCGCGATTGCAGGGCAGTAACTGATTTACGCGAAACTTGCTAATTATAAAGTCATGTGTAAGGAGATTGTCGCGAACTCATGCCTCTTGAAGGCTTTCCCGTGTCTTAATTTATAACGATTTGAAATAAATTAGCCAGAGGGGGACTTCGAGCCCTTTT